GTAAAACCGGGCAGCGGTTCATCTCTTAATTGATAACTCATCTACCTTCTTTTTCTTTTTCCTTTTCCCACAAGTCTCTCCCCCCATCAAATCCGGTCGATTTCGGTTTAGGTCAGTCTAATTCGGTCTAAATTGGTTTGGTTCTTCCAAACCGGATTAATATAACCGGTAGCGCCTGATTAAATTATTTGTAACCGTGGGATGTAGGTGTACATTATATTCCCTTCTCCAGGCAATTATGCCACGGAACGTTAAAGTTTCGAGAATTTAGAATATTTGCTATTTCGTTATTTTCATTAAATATGTGAAGTTTATTGTGATTCAATTTTTTTTTTGTGTGAAGATATTTGGTCCAATATTATCTAAATATCCCTGCTTAAACTTTGCGAATTTATTACTGACTTAATAATTTTCAATAGTGTGAAAATTGGGTTTCCAAATTTTAGGTGCTCATTGAATACGAGAAGGAATCGAATAACTAATATTTAGATAAATAAACTCGAATTTCAGTTACTATTGTGTCAGGAAAATAGTAATAAATCCGAGACTTACATTAGCTATGGGAATTCGTAATTGTATAAAATGATAATTTTATCTTTAGAGTTATAAATATTTATAACAATATCATTATAGATATATTAACTCTTAACATTTATTTCCTTGCTTCAAAATCTTCCTCTCTTTTATTTTGTGTCGTCATCCACATCGTTGGAGAAGTCCGGTCGGAGTTTAAATCGGCCATTTTCTGTAGTCCAGTGAAATCAAGCGCGTGGGGAATATTCGCGGAAGATGCGCGTGGTATTATTTTGTAAATATTTTTAAAATTTTACGATTTAATCTGACGTGGAATTGTTATGGACCGGATTGGCTGCCCTAACCACGCTGCATAACTAAATGCTGTAAAATATAGTCGACGAAGAGAGACCCCATACAACGTCTACCTCTTCCATAAAGTTTGGGAACAATACAACATCGTACCAAAGCTTTCCAAAGTGTAAAAAAAAAGGGGGTTTATATATAAATGATGCTCTTATCTTATTATTATCTTTCAAAAAATAAGTTAAGGGGGTAAATGCCCCCCGAAAAAACCTATGGAAAAGGAAACAACTTACTCAGCCTGTAAAAAACATTACACACATTTTCCCCACTTTTTTTTCTGCCAAAAAAAAAAAAAGAAGACATGGGCTCCTCGAGAGTCAACGATGGCTTTCCACTCATTGACCCTTCTTCAGTTCCGATCTTTTGTCTTTTTTTTTTGTAGCCACGAAATCCTTCTACAGCCCAAAAAAAAGGAAGGGAGGCTGTGTCATGACACCGAAAGGTTCTTGAATGCGTCGAGTTTCACGTCGATGAGTTCGTTCTGGCCCATGGCATGGTTTAGCCTTGCGCCGTTCTCAGCGATCTTACGAGATGGTTGGGACGTTGCAGAGCTGAGTTTTCCTTCAAAATACGTGGAATACGGGAAGTATTCCGCACATCGTGATTTCCATCCTGCATTTGTCATCGTCCACGTTATTCCCTACTATTTTAACGTATTATTAGTACTCAGGTCTATTTTATGTAAAAATTCCCAATATACCCCTAAAGCCAACGGAATTTTTGAGATTTCCATGGGCTCAGATACCCGCGAGTACCCGATTTGGGCCGCTGGTACCCGGATCTCACAAGACCGAGACTGAGACATAGTCTTCAGAAAACCCGTTAGGATGAGGCTGGGTTCGGGTACCCAAAAATCCGGATACCGGACCGGCACATGTATTGTATTTTTAAACAATAAGAATGAAGACAATAAGACGAGAAGAAGGCTCGATATGCTTACCGGATGCAGCATCGGGTTCAAGGAAAACTGTGTCCAGGAGTTTGTGAACTGCCATGCAGTCTTTTAGTTTCCATTCCCTTACTGGTCCTAACGCTCCGTTTCTGCATATGAAGGAAAGGTCCATCTCCAAATAAAATAAACAGAACCACACGGAGAATATAGAGAGGATGAAAATAAAAGAAATAGCCGAAACCATATGTAGAAATTCGAAGAAGCATTACGTTGGAACCACATTGCTGGTTGAGTCTTCGATTAATTTAATAGCCTCAGACTTCTTGCTTGGATCTATAACATACAGCATCTCTGCATAAGCTGCTCTGTGCATCAAGGATCCTGCATTTTCGAAATCGAACTGTGTTATTACCATTTACGCAGCCAATTGTAATCCCTCTGAGGTCCATACATAATCCATATAACATAGGTTTGACACACACCTTTGTGTCGATCATGAAAATCTTTGTTTGCCTCCTCCAATGATTTATTCTGCAATTGACTATAATACCAAACAAAAGGGAGAATTTATCTCATAATTGACATACAGCTAGTGTCATGAAAACCCCAAAAAGAAAGGAAAAAAAGAAGAAGGTAAGCAGTTTACCTGATTGAAGGGCGCTCTGCCTCTAGGACATTCCAAAGGAATTTTTCTGCTACAGTGGATGGAGTAACCATTGATCCTGTCTTGAGGAAGAATTTGATCTGTCGTCCAAGTCCGGTAACATAAAGCAGAACATTAGAACTTATGTAAAACACAGTCTCTTCTCTCCTTCACATGATTAGCCCATCCCAAGAACATTAGTACATTACCATCAGTAAAAGAGTACATACCAAGCAACGATGTGAATCAGGGTTCTCAGCATCCAATTTCAGCATTTGTTTTACAGCCTGAAGAAGGGAAAAAAATAGCAAAGCCCAAAGTTAATTGAATAAATCATAAGATGAACACGATCTAACCAGTTATAGACCTAATCTATCTTGATTTTAGGGTCACTAATAAATCGGGTTACCTGAAATGCAAGAAGGAATTTTTGCTTTCTCATATTAACCTCAAAAGAGAGTAAATGAGTCTCCAGAGAATTAGGTGAGTTCTTCTGGAGTAATTTCAAGTACTTCGAAGCTTCCGCCATTGGATTTTCAACCTGAAAAGGTTTAGTTCTTTGTTAGCTTCTGATGATGTAATGCTTATACGGCACCTAACACGTTTTTACAAAAGACAGAAATAACCACCTGCAGTAATTTTTCCCCATGTGGATCTGGGTCTACAGGTTTCGCATTGCGTTTGCCAGGCTTGGAGACACCACTAGCAGTTGATTCTTCGCCCTTACTCTCAGCTTCCTGAAATACAGTAGGGATAATATTAAGTAACTTAATCATGCACTCAAAAGCTATATCCATGAAAAAGAAACGTACATTTTTAGCCCGGGCTTCTGCTTTTCTCTGCTTCTTGATTTTCTTCTTCTGTGCAGGAGGCAACTTTGACATTTCATCTTCTTCAGCATTTGACTTGGGAGAATCATATAATTTCAAGTAGCACCTAAACAGGGGTGCAAAAAGGGTAAAACGATTACAGTTTAGGCATGAAGTCTAGCACGCATCTAATAAAGGATGCAGTTAGAACTTAGAATACAATTGTGCAACAAAGACTTTACCTGATGGCTCCAACTGCAGCTTTGTGGAAATATGGGAAAGGTCGACAGTT